ATATTGTGCAAGTGCACTGATAAAACGTACATATATCTGGCAAGCAAAAAATTGTAGCCAACATTTTTTGCTTGTGGGTATGCTACGTTAAGACTGCCCCCCTACGTTCCCCTTCTTTCGTAATTTAAAGCCAAAGAATAAGATAATAGTCGGTATTTACAGCGGAAATGTTCAACGGCTAGCTATAAAGAGAGTCGACTATTTGCGCTTTAAAATATTACTTTTAATTAGGTGACAATTATGTAACTATCGAATATTATTTTTCAAAGGCCTGTTGAAAAACTGGATGCATCGCTAGTTGTTTTCTACTTTTTCTTAGAAAAGTCCAATATTTTTTTTCTCATAAAATTTATTATGCTTAAGTTCCATGTTTCCTTTTATTAGTCTTTCAGCTCGAAACAACAACATTTAATTTTGTGTAAATTAGCACGCATCGAAATAAAGATAAAATGATATGTGAATAAGTTGACAGCCAAGTTCACAAATCAAATAAGAATTAATTCAAGGTGAATTTTATATCCTAACTAACCCTAACTAACTAAAAATCCAAAATTCACTTTTTGATTGATCGAATCATAAGTCCCCACATCGTTTTAGGCAATAAAAAAATTTAGTTAGTTGTAGTTTTTTGCATTTCAGCGACTATGTGAAAAACGCTTTTTTAATATAGTACTAACGATATATTGTAAATTTGCGTTCATTCGGCTCAAAATATCAAAACACATTGAGCGCATGGAATGGAACAACAAAACGGATTTGATGGCTTATGGTAGAGCTGCAAAACTATCGGTGGTTAGACCATTCGATATTTTCGATAGTTTTGGGCGTCACCATTCGATAGTATCGATACTATCGCTAAGAGAAAAATATGGGATCCTTACTACGGCACTATTTATATTGAATACGGTAATATTAGAAGAAAAAACAGAAATGTTAGTTTTAAACACAATTTTGGTGTGCTTTTTTTAAAATAACAAATAAGTTATTTTAAGCAACAAAAACAACACGTTGGTAGTCTAAATTTTAAACAATTTACTTAAACGGGGAAAATTCGAGTTTTTCGAGTAATCAAAATGTCAAGCTTTTTAATTAGGTTTCTTAAAAAATTTTTGAGTATGCACTTTTGTTGTTTGAAGTAGCTAGGTCTCACTGTTGATTTTTGGCAATTATTTGTATTTGAAGGTTTCCGATAGTATCGCCATAGTGCGTACCATTCATCGATAGTGGTGTCAAATTGAAGCTATCGATAGTGCCATCGATAGTTTTGCAACTCTAGCTTATGGTACCGACAGCGGTGAGCAATTAATTGTGACTGCCTGCAACTAGGAAAAGCCGTGCTCAGCTAACTAATAAAACAAAATTAATTACAAGCTGTTCATTACAGGTGAACCTTACCAAGAAGTCACCAGGGTACTAAGCTGATCTAAGACTTTTATCGTGATTCCAATAAGTCAAACTATTATAAACAACGGGGTACCTTTTTAACGAAATAACAAGATTTTAAACTAATTCTGCTGGAAACCAGTCACAGAAGACAGAATTAAAAATGAATTACAAAAACTAAAATCGAAAAACGCTGATGACGTAACAAGTTCTCCAAATTCTGAAACAACCAAAAGAATTGGTTCTCCAAATTGGAACACAACGGTGTTTAAACAACGATCTTGCCATGATGCTATATCGTGAAGATGAAAGTCAGGAGAATAAATCCAACATTTGCAGCCCCGATGCAATTCTCAAAAAGGAATTATTGCACCGCAATAACAAATAAAATAAATATAACTGACAGTCCTCTTATCTGATATAGCGTCCATCGAAAAGAATTTACAATTTTGTGGGGTGTCAAGTTTTTCAAATTTGACGCCTCGAGCGAGCTGTTATTTAGTAGCGCAGGCTTGATTTACGACCCGTTGGGAAACAGGCTGTAGCCCGAAAAGGCAGCAAAATTACTCTTTCATAAATACAATGTTCCATTTTTTTAATTTAAATACTAAATAAAAAAACACATTAAAAATTACTACCTTTTTTCCATTTTTTATTTACCTAAATCCCCTAATGTACTCACCAAAATTATTTCTTAAAAATATTTGACATCCGCATTCGCATCCGCATCCGCGGATGTTAGTTTTAAACATCTGCCCCCGCATTCGCATCCGCGGATGTCTAAAATTCCACATTCGCAACATCCCTAGTTTAAACAATGATCTCGCCATTATGCTAGATTCTTCAAGGTAAAAGTCAGGAGGATACATCCGACATTTTCAGCCACGATGCAATTCTCATTAATTTTTATTAAATGTAATATTCCAATTTTTGACTTCAAGTATTAAATAAAATAAACATTATTAAAAATTACTAACTTTTCCATTTGTTATTTACCTAAGTAACTTAATTTACTTACCTAATTTTTTCCTAAAAATACTTCACATCCGCATCCGTGGATGTCTAAAATTCCACATTCGCAACATCCCTAGTATATACGGATATTCGATTCTAAAAATTTACGTCAGCTGTATAAGATCGACATAGTATTTGCCGTAATAAAAAGAGAAATTCCGAAATACCTGAGTGCGAAGAGCTTGAAATGCTTACGATATGAAAAATGCTCAAAATCTGAATCAAAAAGTTAGTCGACTTGCGGAAGGTTTTAAGATCAGGGCGAATTTTAATAAGAACAAATACGGCAACCTGGTGACCGATGTCCAGAGCGTGCGAAATCGACGCAGTCCATTCCACAAGAAGGGTGACGCCGCATGGTTACAACAAGATGTTGGCATCAGCCTTTTTAGCATGGCGTATAAGATCTTAACGAGCGTGTTATGTCACCGTCAACAAAGTAATTGGGCCTTATCAGTGTGACTTTAGGCCTGGTGAATCCACCATATACCGGGTATTAACAAAAATCAAATCTTGGAAAATACCCGCGAGAGAAGGATCGACACTCGCCACCTATTTGTCGACTTCAAAGCCACTTTCGACAACACTAAAGGAGTTGCCTATACGCCGCGATGTCTGAATTTGGCAATGCCGCCAAACTGATACAGCTGTGTAAAATGACATCGACTTCATCGAAGTTTTTTCTTCCTTTTTCAAGTTGGATATGTATACATTCGCTATTTTCTCATATGCATTATTTCGGTTTTCAACGGTTTTTGTGTATGTGTTGTGTACATGTTTATTTATAAACGGATGTGTTCCTTTTCTTTCGTACGTGTTTATTGATATATCTGTACTGTAGTGTTTTCGGACGGTACTAGCTCTTACTGCCAATATAGGAGTATTACATATATGATATTCATATGTCTATATTCATCTTTACTCCTTTAGCCCGCCGTTATGTGAACAAAGTTATAAATTGCTTAGTTACCATTTTTCTTACCGGGTACCGATTGCAGTCGAGTGAAAGTGTCCTATTAAGATATTTAACTTTCTTGATAGGTGTAGATTGTATAAGGAAATGGATAAGCAACAAGTGTTTACGGGGTGTGCTTAGCTCGGCGGTTAGCGTTGTTGACTTTGCACATGAAGATACGGGTTCGTTCCCGGCTGAAGTCTACAGAAAGAAGTGTAGTGATCTCCTAAATAGCGGTTATAACTTCTACAGCTTAGACTTTGTTGGTTGGAACTCAAACAGTTTGTTGAAATAAATATCATTACGCCACAATAACAAAGGGATTTAAGTTTAAAAAATACACCTGTGATTCTCATACAAGAGTAAACTTTTTCGGCTATTAAACCATTTTTTGGATTGGTTTGCCCGAAATCGTCCCAAGTAGCACTTGTCGGTAAAAGTTACTATTCGTTGGTCTAACAGCCTAATTTGCTACAGAACGATGACGAGTTCGAATCGACGTCGTTACGACGACGTTCTGGTGAAGTCGTTTGATCGAATCGAAGTNGCGATGACGAGTTCGAATCGACGTCGTTACGACGTCGTTACGACGACGTTCTGGTGAAGTCGTTTGATCGAATCGAAGTCGTTACCACGTTGGTTTGGTGAAGTCGTTTGGGTAAACTCGATACAAAGTCGAAACGAAGTCGTCTTCCATACAAAATTTGTACTCTTTTAAACTAAAATTTAATGAGCTATAAAAATGCTTTATATTTATTCTTTTAATTCAGATTGCAAAGTTTGAAATTTTTAGGAATGCTTTCTAATTTGTTTTTTTTTTTTTTTGTTTTGCTAGTATATCGATAAAGTAGTTTTTGAGATACGCGTATATCATATAAGTGGGCGGTGCCACCCCCATTTTCCTAAAAGTTCTTGAAAAAAAAACACTTCTTTGCTAAAGAGCAGCAATTTTGAATAATTATTGATGAATTCCTTAGCCACACGGCTAAAAAAATCTGAAAGTCCGGTATATAAACAATATAAATCCAAGGCCGCATTTAAGAAAAGTTGCCTAACTTCGACAGTTTTTATGCGATTACAATAAATGAGCTATCAGTTTATTTAAAAATAGATTTTATTTTAGATAGTACTGCATATTTTGAAATTGTGGAAATTATCGATGGTCAAAATTTAAAAAATTTGAGAAATATAAGATTTTTTTATTTTACTCGATAAAAATCCTAACCGACAAGTTCGCCAAGTCCGACAATAGATTATTATATACCATTTTAAAGGCCTATATGTATATCCTCTTCTCAGATCATATTCGTTTTTTTGAAATCGAATCAAAGATAATCATTAAAAAACTCATAAATATACAAAATCGTATTTTCTGACCTAAATCGACAGGTCGCGACCTCTAAATGACGTTTAAAAAATCTTTAAAAATGGCTATATTTCTCATGAAAACGAATAAAATTAGGGGTAGGGTCTTGAAATTTCCAAAAAAGACATTTTCGATGGGTACCCTAATATATATCCCCATAAGTGCACTTAACTCGTAGTAATTTAATTGTACAAATTCTAATTTGTCCTATGGTTCACGCTATCTTTTGTTTTATTTTCATCGACGACAATCGCAACATCTTAATTGGTAACAACAAAAAAGGCCAAAGCACTCGGACGTGTTCTGTTTGATCAGGTATGCCGACAATTGAATCTACTCGAGGCGGATTACTTTGGATTGGAGTATCAGGAAATCTCCACACACACCAAATATTGGCTGGACCTTGAGAAGCCATTAAATCGACAAGTTGGCTTGTCACTCATCGATCCGGTGCTTCGTTTCTGCGTTAAATTTTACACTCCTGACCCAGCGCAACTTGAGGAAGAGTATACAAGGTAAGTTCGGCTAACAATTACGACGTTCATTGTTCTATGAAATCGAACACATTTATGTACATATTAGAGCTGGGAGTTGTATCCGGATTTCTTGAGTATCCGAATAATCCGGATGTTCAAATATCTGATTAAAAATTCCAAATATCCGGTTAACAAACTGAGCAGATATTAATGGGATATCCGGATAACAAAGTGAACGGATTTTAACTGGATATACGGATTTTCAAATCTAAAAATAACAATAAAAGCGAGCCCTGTTTGCAATTATATAGTAAGCTTCAATTTATCGAGCATATTTTTCTTTTTGCAAATATGTAGATATAAATACTAGTTAAACGTCCTACAAAATGTTTACACTTTTTCATACCTGCTATTTTATCGTAAGCGACACTGTGATTATAGAGCTTCATTGTGAATAGTAGTTTTAACTGTAGTCTTAACCAAAGCTCTCTCGACGTTTCCTATAATTGAATGCTTAAGCAGCTTATTTCTCTGAAGGAAGTGCAATCTGCCGTTTTGCAACTGCAGCTGCGTTTACAACTCCGTCGTTTCTCGTTTGGTGGGACCTTTTTTGCTTTCTCAAGAGTTCATAACATTTAAAAGCTTATCAGAAATATACAAATTGACACCAATATGGCTTTTCCACTGAATCCCAATTAAGTAATGCGCTCTCCCATTTGTACTTAATTCCCACTCTAATTACCCTTCGAATTACGTAATTTACCATACAAAATTTTGAGAACATTTTTTGTTAATCCAGATCCAATTACCATGCGAATTACGAACAAATAAGCTACCATCTTTAATTTTTACCGGAAATTTATCGAAACCAGTTCACAAATCAAAACTGGCACTTCTTCTGTGTACGAAAAGTAATGTTTACACATGTGTACATCACCAATTTAATACGGAACATTGTAAAGTTTTAGCAATAACTTACAAAATTTTTTAGCGAAAAAAAACCAAACCACAGAGGCAGAGGCAGAAAACTGTCAAATCGAATTAAGAATGTGCCCGTGGGAATGGGGTAATTTGCGATAGTAATTGAGGTTTGCTCGATTCGGGGCGCCGCACAGTGTTTCGCAGGCGGAAATAATAGTGAATAGCGATTTCAGTGAAACTTGACATGTGCTTTAGTTTTACTTAGAAATAGAGAATTATGAAATTTAGTAAAGTTGGAATAATTGCTACGCCCTCTACTCTTGTGGGCGAAACATTAAATTTCATCCGATTTCGGCGAAATTTAGTTTGTGGTCTTTATTTTATTAGAAAAACCTAAATATAATATATGGGGAAGATTGGATCACTATAACGTCCAAAACTCACAAAAAATGTGGGCTCAGTCTTTAAATGTGATGGAATTTTGATGAATTTTTGTTCCTTGCTTTCTACTCTCAGAAAGTCGCGCGCAAAGATCAAATTATTTATTCCAAAACTACAGAAAATTCTCTAAAATATTCGTATAATTTCAAGACCTGGCGGACCGGTACTCACACTTTTTTTTACTAATAACCTTTAACATCAACACTTCAAAGTAATTTTTTGGTAAGAAAATAAGAAAGTACCAAATAAATGATAAATACCTTCACCCGAATATTCCACGGCATTTTAATAATTGATTACAGTTGAAAAAGAAACACTTTCTTTAATGGGTTAATCGCCAAAGGCAACTAAACTGATTAGTCAGTATCGCGCCCATTTCCGTATTTTTATTTTTTTTTGGAAATGTATCGTTCATGAAGAAGGGGGGTGAGTAAATAATGTAAAATTTGGTATTTATGCCTTTTACTTTTCCCTCTCCCAAGTCCAACCCGTTTTTTTTTATCAACTGTAACCGTGACTTTTTTCTACCTGCCTTCATATAGTCGAAACACTGTGCGCCGTGGGAAAACCGTATAAGAAGACAAGTTCTGTAAATCGCTGAGGGAAAAAATATTAAAATCAAGCAGCTTTGCGCACTCAGCTACAGCCAGACATATAAATGTGCTTTCANGGTATTTATGCCTTTTACTTTTCCCTCTCCCAAGTCCAACCCGTTTTTTTTTATCAACTGTAACCGTGACTTTTTTCTACCTGCCTTCATATAGTCGAAACACTGTGCGCCGTGGGAAAACCGTATAAGAAGACAAGTTCTGTAAATCGCTGAGGGAAAAAATATTAAAATCAAGCAGCTTTGCGCACTCAGCTACAGCCAGACATATAAATGTGCTTTCAAATGTTGAATTTCCATTAACATCACAGCACGCGATTTGTACGGATAAACATGCACTATGTATACATGTGGGTGTTGTCACCGTCCTGCGGGAAATGTATTTCACTATATGTTAACTTGAGGTTGATTGGGAAAGAGCTAAGGTCATTATTATCTGTATTTTCTCTTTGAGGAAAGCAAACTATATTTCTGTGGCGATGGCCGCGAAATAGTCAAGGGTGGTTACCTCTGCATGTGATGTCAATTAATTTGTAACTAATTAATTTTGAACATATAATATATCGATGGCTGAGTGGAGGATCGACCTATCTCGGCAGCCAGTTCGAAAACGCTCTATCTTAAAAAACTTTTCAAGAACGCCTGCGGTATGCAGTTTTATAGCCCATACAATTTTAGTCTAAGGAAAGCATGTTTCAAACGGCTAGAAAATCCCGTGAATTTTTGAGATTTTTTTTGTGACGGATTTTTGCACTTTTTTCTATATAGGCGTGAATTTCTTATGAAATAAAACGCAAGAGGTCGTTAGCAAGAAAATTTCAAAATATGAACGCCGGTTTTTGTAAATAGCGCTTTTTATATTAAAAAAAACCGACCGTGATTATATGGTTTTGGTTAAAGCTTGGATGGTAGTTTTATAGAAAAATAACAAAAAAAAATTAGGTCGAAAAACATTACGAATATTTAAAAAAAATCAACACTTGTTTGAGTCACCAAATGAGAGAGGAAATTTCGTAGAATTGAAAATGCGCTTTTAATAAATTTTATCTTTTTAAGTTAATAAAGTNTAAAAAAATTTCTACAGAAATTTTTCTGTTATAAGATACCCTTATTGTTATCCTACACTGCACTGAATTTTTTAAATAATTTTTTGAAATAATCGTGTTTNCTCGATGATGAGGTCGTGCGTATATTAGTCCTCAAGCAATAATTTTTTCAAAAAAAAAAAAATAATAATAATTGCAAATTTTCAAGGATATTTAAGAACAAAATTTGTAATGGACATTTTCCATACCCATTCTTCCTTATGCACCAAAAAATTAATTCTGTATAGTTCTACAGAAATTTTTCTGTTATAAGATACCCTTATTGTTATCCTACACTGCACTGAATTTTTTAAATAATTTTTTGAAATAATCGTGTTTTTTTAAATGTCAAAGTCTTCTTTAAAAAAAATTCCGATGCCAGAGAGAAAAAATAAGTACGCAATTTTACTATAAATTACCCATATTATCGCGAATATATTGTAATCAAATATAATGCAGTGTTATATCAGCCATTTCCATACAAAATTCTGAATTTTCTGATTACAAATCTATGGAAATATTTACAAAATTGTGCCGATTTCAAATCATTCGAATTTCATAGTATGCCTTATAATCTTATTTAATACACTGATACAGGAAATATTGCAACTGAATTCGAAATTGCCCTCTTGAGACCAGCTAGTACGGCTAAATGGATGCACCTTTTCGAAACTATTTAACTTTGTTGTACATTTCCTTTCAAGTTGCATATAAGATTTTAATTTTATCAATTTTCCTTATCATAATTTCAGGCCTTTCAGCATTCTTTTTAACCTGGCAATTTTTTCTTTTAATCTCTGGATTAAAAAATTTCCTTCAGCCAATTTTTCCAAAATGTATGTTTAAAATACATGATGTAAATATAATGAGGCGTATTCTGGATTTCGTACGAATCAAAAATTTGAAATTTTTGTATAGGAAATAATAGGAAAATTTCAATATTTTCGATTCGTGCGAAAACAAGAATACACCCCAATAATTGATTTCAAGACTTGTTAAAACCCTTGTTTTTCATGTGGTTTGTTTCATAATTGAACTGACTCATTTACAATGGCAACTTGTGGACAGTCCAGTAGATGCATGAAACAGTTAATGTTTGAAATTACGATGAGCTCATTCTGCTGAGTGGTAGCGTGTGGCTTAAAATTTAGTTTTATCCAACAGTCCCTTAAGTATCCGCCGTCCTTTTTTCTTAATACATATCTTGATTAAGTAACACTTACAGCCGATTTCTCAGTTGATAAATAACTACTTATGTTAAAAAATAGTTCGTAATTCAATAGTTAACTGCCCGATATTGGCGAATTAAGTATGAGTACACTGAGAAACTGACCAGAAGTCAGTAAAAGGCAGTAAAACTATCGTAAGCGCCAATACTTTAATTAATTGCATCTCAGCATGTTCACAAAAAATATCGTAAGCGCAGTAATGTATTTAAATATTAAGATATGCAAACAATTAATAATAATTTTGTCCATTTAAATCCAAATAAAGTATTACACTCTTTAACGGAGAAATAAAAAACGTACTTATATCTTTTAAAATTAGCTTTTTGTCGCTTACGATGAAATCGAAAATAGGGCTCGAAATAACAATTGCTTGGGTATTAATGAAGTGTTCTATTATTTATTTTGCGACCCAATAGATTCAGTAATTTTCAGAACAATTTTACGAATCCATTCAAACACATTTATTTTAGAATATCCAGATAGCAAAAACCACTGATATTAACCGGATATCCGGATTTTATCCGTATAACTACTCGAATCTCCGTACGGATATCGGAATACAAATATACGGATAGTCCCAGCCTTAGTACATATGTAAGTAGTATGTATGTATGTATATTCAAGTCAATGATTGCAGATACGTTTGAACATTCATATACATACATACATACCTACATATATACATACATACATACATATATACATACATACCTACATATATACATACATACCTACATATATACATACATACATACCTACATATATACATACATACATACATAGGTACATATTTATAAACATACATTTATTAAAGAGATAAAAACAGCATTTACCATGTGAACCTGGTTATCTATGAGCACGAGGTTAATGAATTCTAACCACCATAACTGAAACTATTTTATACATAGGTATCTTTTCTGTTTGCAAATTAAACGAGACTTGGCCAATGGCAGTTTGCAGTGCAACGACAATACCTCCGCGCTGATGGCAAGTTACATTGTGCAAGCGTCATGCGGTGATTATGTGCCTGAAGATTATCCTGATCATACATACTTGTCATCGTATCGCTTTGTACCTCATCAGGATGCAACTATGCAGCGTAAAATCATGGAAAACCACAAGAAGCATGTGTACGTATAATTGTTGTGTTTAATAAAACAATAGGTATTTTTGCTCACAGAAAGCGACGAATGGTTGATGAAGCGGATTCTTCTCGTGTGTATTGATTAGGTCGTGCGATATATAGGGTTATGCCACCTAACCACCTTTTGACTTATTTAACCTAAGTAGTCCACCTAATATTTTATGCTACTGTATATGTATTAGCAGCGCATATGTGCTTTCGAAAGTATGAATCCTCATACATATGTACACAGAAAAAAAAGCTGGTAATATCAAGCAAAGTATGGGTTGATTTAACCAAAATTACGGTCAATTCTTATCCATGATTCAAANAGCTGGTAATATCAAGCAAAGTATGGGTTGATTTAACCAAAATTACGGTCAATTATTATCCATGATTCAAACCTGTTAATTCAACTGTATTAAAACTGTTAACCCGAAAATAACAGTTTATAGTAGTGAAAACGAAAGAAAGCTGCTTTTTCATATTAACAGGACCCTGTTAAATCAACATATTTCCGTCACTTTGTAGGTGAAAGTTTAGACTGTTTGAACAACAGTGATTTCTGTTGTCTTAAAAACGACAGTATTATGTGTTAAAATAAAGAAGATTTCTGTCATCGCAGTTTTCGCAATAGAAATAACAGATAGTCTGTCGTATTTAGAACACCTACGATTGCTGTTGAAATAACAGATAGTCTGTCGTCTTTAGAACACCTACGAATACTGTTGAAATAACAGTATAATCTTTTGTTTCCAAAACTACAGTAATATCTGTTGAAAGAGCAAAATGCAGTTAAATACAGTTTTAAATTTTTTTTATTTATAAAAAGTTTTTATTATTATACATAATATAAAAATTCTATTGTAATTTTTTTTAATAATATATATGAGTATGTATTTGTAAAAGTTACAATGGTTTTAGTCGTATATAAGATGAACCATTTAGCATTGTATGAATATTTAGAGGAAAACTTATAAAATTTTTAATTTCGTTTACCACAAGTACTTGAGTATTTTTTTTAGTAAGAAGAGCTTGGTAATGTTCATCATAACGTACACTTTTTTGTTTAAATCGATAGCTAAGTATTCAATTTTATGCACATGTAACTTCTTGTTCAAAAACAAGCATAGATAAAAATTACTTTTATATAAAGTTCCTTTGTACAAAATTTCTTTTAAAAAGATAAGGTTTTTGACGTCGAAATGCAGTTGTATGAAAATTTTTACATGTTCTGAAATTTCTTCATAATTGATGGCTATATTATACGTAAATTCAAGTGGAATGCAACATTTAAGTAAAAAATTAGAAAATTGATAAGACACTTTTTTTAGCGAGGGAATACGCGCCATTACGTCTTGAAGTAATATTACTCATATACTTTTTTAGTGATGTATGCTTTGCTTCATATCGCATACACCACATTTTTCTTAATGGTCCTGCCATTTTAATAATATTCGCATAATGCACCATAAAATGGGGTTTGGGTTTTAATTTTCCGAAACATTTTACATAAAGTTTATGATGTTTGAATATATTTTGCTGCAAAGTCTCTATATTTTCATCATTTAAAGAAGAAAGAAGGCATAAATCTGTTAACTTTACAAGAAAGGTTATTAGTTTCCATACTTTATCATTTCAAGGAACTTTATCGCCAATAATTAAAGGAAAAATAAGTAAAAATTCCGATGCTGTCATTCTAATATTTCCTCGTCTCAAATTATGCAAAGTCAATGGGCAAGCAATTTCAACTTCTAGCTCCCCATACGGAAATACCCTTATACGCATGTTTAAAAAATCTATAGTAAAGTATTTCTTTTCTAAAAAATATTAAATGCTTTTGCTAAGTTTGTAACGGCATACCCCTTCAAAAATAACAGTAATTAAAAGTTTTCAGAAATACCTGTTTCCTTTGTATTATTCGTTTCTAAGTCAGTTTTATAGTTATCTTAATTTCTTAAAAATGTTATGTATTCTTTTGCATCTGTTTGCGTATCTTCTTTTCTTCTACTACATAAACGGCAGTATTTGTTGGACTGAAAGATTAAGAAAAACCAAGAATGGTTTTAGACCTAAATTATCCCCTAATATTAAACCTAAAACGAAATATACATGGTAAGTACTTCCACTGCAATTAATTTGAATTCCTTCCTCTTCTAAGTGCCTTATTTCTTCTTTAAGTGCATACAACGCTTTGTTAGATTTCAACACTTTTCTCCAAAACTTCGATATTTTTATTGTATCCGTGAGAAGTGTGTCATTTTCAGATATTTTTCTTATGCAAAATCTTAACTTAAATACATATGCCTCTGATTTTAACTCTTTTAAAACTGTATGGCCTGAACAATTTTTTTCTGCTATTTCATTGTTTACAGTATGTGTATAAAATTGTTCAAACATATAATTTTCAGTTAAATATTGTGTAAATTTATGTTCCGTTTGTATTTTTTTGAAGGGTTTGAGATGATTTGAAGGATGTTTTGAATTTCTGAAATCTGTGTAGGATTTGAAATACATGTCGTGACACTTGAAACAATTATTTTACAAAAATTTGTTATTTTGGATTGAATATCCAAAGCGTCCTTACGTGGGAAATTTTCTTTTGCGTACAATTCAGATGTTAAGGTCATAGCAGTTTTATGAATTTCATTCGAAAAGTCAAAGTTAGAATTAACAATTTTAAGTTTTTCATTATTGTTATCTACAGATCCAGAAAAGTTTGGCAGCGATGCTAAGGAAAATTCAAAGTTATTTTTATGCTCATTATAAAAGTTCAAGTTTCCATTCTTCTCATGGTGTAAATTTAAGTGTTTTGAAAACGAGTATTTGCTTGAGAAATGCTGAAAACAATTTTTTTGACAACACTTAAAAACTCCATAGCTTTTTAACTTATGAAAATCTTAGAAGTGTTTCAAGATTTCCTTAACACTTCATAACTTTTTACTGTACACGAAACATGAAACATCTTTAATTAAACTATTAATTATCTATTAAAAGCGTATTTAAGTGAGAAACTAGGCCAGATATTTTTGGTGAATATTCGTACTTTGGAGTTTTAATCTTATAAAAAAACGTTTGTATGAAATTCCACACGCCTTTACAATAAATCGGGTATTGAAAATTTAGAACATGAAAAATTTTGAGGCACATATCCAAGCTCTTAACGGAGGATGAAAACTTGAACTTCAGTCCGTCACAATATACATAAAATTCAGTAACTTTAATTAAACTTTCACCTACTACAACAATTATTGGCTGCAATGTACAATTTTGGCGCTCAAAACGGTGCCTCATATTTAAAATTTCTTCCTCTAAAGTTGACGTTGACAAAATGCGCAAAATAAAGCTGTTCATGGCTTCACTTATGGTCACCTTTTTCAGCTTCCCATTATGTTTGTATTTAGCAGTAGGAGTTATTACAGCATTAAGTAATAATGCTATAATGCAGTTTCTTGAATCTAGGTGTGAGTGAAAAATAATAATTAATGTTCAATAACCGCTTGTACAAAAAACATACTTACTTTCATCTATTGATTTGTACTCAAGCTTAGCAAAGAGGTCCCTGGATACTTTGTCCTTTATTTCGTCATTAAAAATTTTGAGGACGTGTAAAAAAAGAAAAATTCGTTTTTTTAAACATCATATGAAAATCGCATTCGATCTGAAATCATATCACATATTAACGTCACAAGTTATATAACTTTACAGTGTTGTTGGATTTAACAGAAAATGGAATTAAAATAATGCTATTTTCCATATTTGAAATGTTATTATTTTACGAATCAAGACAAGTTATAACTATGTAGTCGAATAATCGGTTATCGAAAAGCAAACGTTGTTACAAAAAAACGTATTTTTACTCACGAGCATTAATCGCCTTAGCCAAAATCAGGGCTGCAAAATAACGTTATTTTTTTTATCAAAAAACGAAAACAAATCGCTTTTGTTTTGTACATCAAAAACGTTAACGTTATGTTTCGTTGAACATCAAAAAATATCAAACAAAGTTTTCGTTTTAAGCATAAGATTATCAAAAAAGTTATTTATAAAAAATGTGTTTCTCTTGTATTCAAGTTATATGGCAACGTTCAAATTCGAAAATATAAGAGAAGACTGTTGAAACAAAATCAATATTAATGGCTGCGTTTCTTTATACATTCCGGATAATCCCATTTCACAGCCGGAATAAACAGAATGCGTTTGAAATATACGTCAACATATCATCAGGAACGTTCTAAAGAATAAATAAACAAAAAAGTTTATTCCAAACGTTCAGAATGAATAAAGAAATGCAGCCAATATTTCTTTTCGAAATGAATTTTTTTGTAACATTTGTTGATACTCAACGAAAAATTTTTTTTGTTCTTTTGTGATAATCGACAAATACGAATTTTTTTTGTAATTTTATTTTAATAACGAAACGAAAATTGTTTATATAATTGTGCAGCCCTATTTAAAATAGGGACTGTCGAGGCGGTTATTGTTTGTGATTATAAAGATATCTACCAGCTTCGGTCCTAGGGTGGCATTCTTATAGAGTGGCCACTCGGAAATCAAATCCACAATACCTAATACCATGTCCCCACCGGAGCTAACCACGTAGTTATGGCTATTGAGTTGGTTATCCCAATAACCCACTTGATTTAGCGTAGTTTCGCCATATAAAAATGACAGCACTTAACCATTTCCCTGAGATGGTTAAAGCTAACCAACTCGAAACCACGTCGAAAGTCTGATACAACCCTGTGTTTTCCCGCCATCTGTGGGTCATTAGCGTCAAAATGTAAAAAATTCGTTCCCTACTAGTGTTTGGACTCAACTAAGATCAGATTAGATTTACTCCGGTTTTTGAAAATTTGAAATCTACTCCTCTACTCCGCTTGACTTCAAGTCTATTTCGTTTTTTTCATTCATGTTATGCCACTCTTGGGGCCGTTTTTTGAGTGTTCACCACCGGTTTCAGTAAAGAAATGAAAGTTAGCCAAATCTCACTGTTAAAAAGTAACTGTTTCATAGCAATGCGTCAAATGCGTTATTTTTTGATGTATGGCTGTGCAAATTGGCGGATGCAGAACTTTACTTAAGTTGTTAAAAAATATATGTATAATGAAATTTATATAAAGTAGAAAAGGTTTGCTCTTTAAAAAATTAAGTGTTAGATACGTTCTACTTTATAGAAAATGCTAAAAATTACCTAAATATGTAACATATTATCCTTACATTGCCTCGCGTTCTTATTTTGCATGAATAGAAAACATTTAAGTCACACAATTAATTTTAGAAACGAAAATAAAAAATTCAATCTATGTAGTACGGAAAATTTGTTTTTGCTCTGACTTTTGCAGCGATTTAGTCCTGAATCGAGTTTCGCGGTACGAACACTGTTCTTTACATTTGTACTGTTTTATAAACCTCAAACCGCAGTGTGAACAGCAATAGTTAGTGATGTGGTTAAGTTCGATTTGAGATGGTTAACTTTTTGGTGGGGACATGGTATAAGTCGATTATGGATTTTCTCCTTGCTGCGAAGGTTCGCCTACACTTTTCCTCCAGTGGCGAATCATTGTATTTCAGCCAAGCTTTTATGATGTGCAAAACGTTGTCATCTACTTCATCGCAGGAGCTTTCACTGTCTTCGCAGAGCGACTCAGTACCAGCCATGGTGCTGGAAGAACTTGCTAGTGATAATCTACGCTTTTTCCGGACAGTGAAATAGCGGTCGTAACGTTTTCCGGAAGGTTTTGTACCACGCCGACAAAAGTATGTAGCCTGTAAAACATTATGATTATGTAAATAATGTTAAATATTAGTAAGTATATACTCCCACACTTTCTCCACGAAAGTGTGTGCAAATACAATCTGCCAAAGCCTCCATGTCTTTAATCAATAGTTTCTGGCCACCGGCAAGGCAATTATCTATAATACAATTCAAAATTTCTTGCTGATGCTTTGGCGCTAATGTTTTATTGCTGCAGTAGTATTCCAAAGCATCTTGACCAGCTGGTGTTGTCCGAAAATAGCTCGCAAATCCTTATAAAAGTACGAAGCAATAAACACGTACATACATTAGCGTGGTCCCAAAATGTATGTGAAAAAGTAAAATCGGAATTTTGTTCTATTGTTCTAAACCGAAAAAAAAAATTTCAGCGCTTTGAGCGATCTCTAAATATTTTTTGATTTCAAAATAGAAAATAGGGGTAAATTTTTTCCGATATAGAACAATCCTAGGGCGCGGAGCATTAAAACTAAAAATAATATCTGTGCATTAAAAGCGTTATTTCGGAGAATTGGAGACTCCAAATTACTTGCCAACGAGTTCTGAAAGATAATTTCAATAACATTGTTTTAATTAAGATAATTTTTGAATTTATACCAGTCAAAATTTTTAATTGGTTTTAAAATAGTACAAAAGTATTTAAAACATTTTACAAATGTGTTTATAAAATAATATACACACATTCACACATACACGTTAATCAGTAGTTTAGACCGAAACTTATCTTTTACGCCTAAATCCTTTACATCAGGGAAAATTTTGTCCAAATCTGATTCCGTCAAAAATTGAAGTTCCTCCTTTCAAATGCCCGCTTCTGCGATATAGTATATATTTTATAATTAAAAGTTGAAACAGTTTCTTTCATGAAACCACTTACCCGGTAGAATAGAGAACGCGTTCTCCAGTCCCCACACCTTCGGCAGATTCAAAAGATCGTCTGCTTCTGCCATTTCTAAAAAACAAGAAGCTTTTAAAAATTAGAATTGATTCACGTTGCATTGAGTCCGACGCACCGTATATGCCGCCTATAAGTTTTTGAAAAAGATTTATTGTGAAACGGCTATTACGAAGCTGACGCCGCATTAGACGCTAACGAGCCGTTATTTTCGCGAAAGCGTTTACATACAGTCAGTGCCAAATGTAAGTGTACACCATGTTCTAATATAATATTAACACTTATTTTCAAGAAAAAAATGTTTTATAAATTATTTATGAAAATATAGATTATTCTATAACAACAACCATATAAATCAAAACTTCACACTTTATATAAAGTTCACAAAAATTCAAACAATTTTCATCAAAATTTGTATTTAGAATTTCTACAAAATTTTCGAGTATGCAGTTTTGTACCCAGTTCAATTTTAATAAAAGAAAGTGCCAGTTTCAAGTCGCTGAAAATTGCCGTTGATTTTTTAGAATTTTTTTTTTGTGGAGGGTATTGCGCGTTTTCTTCCATATAACGCGTGATCTACAATACAAAAACAATTCTAAAAAATCAACGGAAATTTTTAGCGACTTGAAACTGGCACTTTGTTTTACTACAAAACTGCATACCCGAAAATTTTCTAGAAACTCTGAATAAAAATTTTGAGTTTTGACGAAAATTTTTTGAATTTTTGTGAACTTTATATAAAGTTGGTGCATGTTATAGAATAATCTATATTTTCATAAATAATGAATGAAAAAGTTTTGTCATTAAAATAAGTGTAAATATTGTATTAGAACAAGGTGTACACTTACATTTGGCACTGACTGTACATAGATACACCTTGCAAAGCAAATGCAAACTCGTACTTTAGGCTACGTGCATAAACACACACGCGTATTTACATACAAACATATTCTTCTGGCATTTAAGTGTACCCAAGGAGTATTTTGTGAGTGCTTTTAAAGTATCTAAAGAAGTTAATTTTAATACATTTTTAGCTGATTTTTACTTTCCGATATGTCTTTAAAAGTATATTACTATATTATACACCAGTGATGGGCAAATTGGGCCTTTTGCACTAAGGAGCCGGCTTGGCTCATTTAGTGGTAGATCTACCACTTTTTGGAGCATCCACCACATATACCACACAAGGTCTGAAATCTACCACATATTTACGTTTTTGAGTAGTTTTATTTTTGCTCGACATAATTTTCTTAATTTTAAGATAAAAAATTGTCGAACACTAAACACTAACAACAGGCAGAATGGTAAGATAAAATCAACCGTAAAATAGTAAACTTTCTCAATATTCAATTTTTCGACAGGAAACGTGGTTTTATTGTGTTAAATTGGAAAATATATGATTATAAAAAGGAATTAAAGCGAAAATGTTAAGAAAACGGAGATTTTTAAGAAAGTATTAACAAATTTCAGTGCATCTAAAGTTTCTAAAGTGTTGTTTACTTTTACTTGAGAATTGTCAAAATCGGCAAATCCCAAGTAGCTGTTTCTGGAACGTGCCACATTTGTTCGCTACAACATGTTGTGATAAAAAGAAAAGTTGGCAGCACTTCGCAAGGTTGCAGAAATCTTTCAAAATATGTTCGAGAAATATCTTGATACGGAAGGAACTGCGTTAAACTGTCAAAGAAAAAAATTGCCAAAACTCAACGCAATTTTTAGCAACTTCAATCTTGCACTTTATTATACTAAAATATTTTTTTTTTTTTNAAATGTTTACGAGTGTGTAAATAATATACATTTGGGGGTCTCAAGGACAAACTCTGAAACATTGAAAGAGAGTGTGCAAAAAATCACTACCTGCTACTGTTTTCGTAACTTAATATCGATCATTAAGGAAAAGTACAAAGAATGTTTCTAATGAATAAGGTTACATAGTTTAACCATATATGTAATACTCCTATATTGGCAGTAAGAGCTAGTACCGTCCGAAAACACTACAGTACAGATATATCAATAAACACGTACAAAAGAAAAGGAACACATACGTTTATAAATAAACATGTTCACGACACATTTACAAAACCGGCACTCAAGTACACAATACATTGACAAAAACAGTACTAGACTGTCTCGCTTTGATTTCGGAATGCTTACACATTGAGATGTTAGCTTACTATCAATATAGAAGTATTACATATATGAGTTTAACCAACAATAATTTTGCTTTCTTTTATGTATACGTTTATGAACTTTTACTCACAACGACATTTTTACACTTCTTTTGTTTATGAAATACAAATTTATACCTAAATGTACACGATTGAGAGAAGACAAAGGTTGCGCCGATCTCGGACCGCTATTCCTCTCTTGACGAATTTGACAGAATCGTTGTTTGCATGGCGTCACACTTGTGCAACTTGTTTACGTTTTCCTTGCAACATTTTTTCTTCTTCTTCCATTCTTGCTCACGTTTTGGCATTTCTCTCTTGCAATTGCACCAGTGTGACGTCACACAAAAGTTATTCTCAAAAATCCTCTCTGATCGGCGCAATCTTGTATTCTATCATTCGTGCTAAATGTATACATATAAAGTATTTCATTATCTTAAAAGTACCAAATATCACAAAAAATTTCAACACAACCCTTTTTTGGTGAGTGATTCCACGATTGAGAGAATAAAAAGGTTGCGCCGATCTCGGACCGCTATTCCTCTATTAACGAATTTGACAGAATCGNTTGAAAGAGAGTGTGCAAAAAATCACTACCTGCTACTGTTTTCGTAACTTAATATCGATCATTAAGGAAAAGTACAAAGAATGTTTCTAATGAATAAGGTTACATAGTTTAACCATATATGTAATACTCCTATATTGGCAGTAAGAGCTAGTACCGTCCGAAAAC